GTCACTGTGGTTGATGGGTGTCATTAGCTGGTCTTTTGTGTGTAGTGATCCCCTATCCTTGTGGCTGGGTAGAGTTCGTTGACCTTTTGCATGCTGTATTTTTGAGAGCTGGGAGCCAAGTTTTGTTGAGCTTCACACTTTCTCCTACAAGACTTCTTGTTATTACCAATGCACATGTTTTCTTAATAATGTTGCTTTCTTCTGTTCTAGGCGGCTGGTGTGTTTTCTCAACCCTTCTTTGCACCACCCATGAATTCTGTGAGTATTTATTTGGTTTTGTGGACAATTCCAGAGGCTAAATAATTCTACAACCTATAAGGTGAAAGCTGGCACTCTGAACCTCTCACGGGAAATGATGGCTTGGTTTGGTTGCTAGTATAAAACCTAGTGGGAAGCCCACAGTTGAAATTCAGAAGGTCACGGCTTCATGGTTGGGTGGAATCTCTCCTTGTACAAGGTTCCACAGATGATAAAGCAATATGCCCACTCTCCTGAAAACAGACCCCACTGCACTCTGTAGGAGTTATTAAGGATTGTGCTGAACATCAGCTCATGACTATTTCAGCACACAAAAATGTCAAGTATCAGGGCTAGAAAACAAACCTCTACTTAACGCCTTGTCCCTCAAGTTGGACACTGTTCCATCGTGTCCACCAGGAGTCCAATAGCAGCTTCAAACATTCATTTAATGAAGACTTTATTTCCCGTCCTGGGGAGTGAACCTGTGACGTTTGCACACCAAGAACGTTCTCCATCACTGCTCTACAGCCCCGTCTGTTTTCAAGCCAGTGTTTGTAGAGAAAACTGGGCTAAGGTGAAGAGTGAGAAGGCAGACGAAAAGCGGTCTTACATGCATAGGTTACAGGGCCTCTCCCTTGGGAGAAAACACAAGAGTGGAAAAAATTGTTGTAAACTACAAGGCTGTTGGAACCAAATATGGTTTAATTTGAATGTCTACGGTCGGAGGAGAACAAAGGAAAAAAAGTCCAGAACACATACGTTCCTCCTGGTGATGCCATGAGTCTGAGAGATCTTGCGTATATACATGAACACATACATACACATTATATAAAGTACACAAGAATGCAACATGGTGGGTTTTTAAAAATAATTTAAATTTTTATTTTTTTGCAGAGAAGGAAGAAGAAGACTGCCCAGGTTTGGGTGTAAATATCCAGGGCAAGACTGTTAGATAAGGCAGGCCACTAGGGGTTTGATCTAAGCTGCATTTTGGTGTTTTTCAGCTCTAGCAACCGCATCACGAAATCCCTCTTTTTCTTCTCTTTCTCTCTCCTCAGGGCTACGGCGGAGTAACGTTATCCAATCCTGTGAGTATCTTGCTGCTTTGAGGTCTCTCGCCCTGGCGTAGGGTGGGTTGCCAGCCCCCCCGGGGGGCAAGTATTGCGCCCCCTCGAGGCCACCTTGGGAAATGGCAGGGGAGGGGTTGTGATGCTGACGGAGCCCCCTTCGCTCCCTTCTTGCTCCACATGGGCCCCTCTGCTGTCTTTATGGTGGACGGCTCCGGGCTGTCCTTCTTCGCCCTCCAGGCCACCCTCTCTGAGGGGAAACAGAGCGAGAGAGGGAGCCAGAAAAGGAGAAGCTCATCTTATGCGTTTTCTCACCTGCTATGCGCTCCCCCTTGCCCAATGGCTCCATGGCAGGGCTGAAGTGTTGTGTCCCTGAAGAATTTTGCACTTGGGGCAACCATCCTCACAGGCTCCTCATGCAATGCCACTGGTCTCTGGGCTGTCCGTCCATGACAAGCACTCCTCACTTAATGATCTACCTGTATAACGGTCGCTCAGATTTACGACTCTTGACCACCCTCGTCAATGTGCAATTGCATCTTCGCCAGTACTCCTTCTGGAGGGCACACGATTTATTCCTCTTGCGTACAGTATTGTCACTCCTCACTGATCAACCAATTCGCTTAACGATCCAGTCGGAGGAACGGAACCCGGTCGTTAAATGAGGAGCGCTTGTCGTGGGCAATTTAGAAGCTTCGGCTGGACCTGGCAGAAATCAAAATTAGTGAATTAGCAGGCTGGAGACCTCCATGATCTCCTACATTTGGCCAGAAGGAAGATGCCCTTTGGTGCATAAAATGCTTTCGAGGCATCTGTTCCTGGTGCACCGGACCATGGCTGCTGTTGGAGACAAACAATCACAGTCAAAACCTCTTTCTCCCTGCATCTCCATCACAACTTCCATTCTGTCCCTCCTCAGTTACTGATTAAATGGAAAAGGTTGAGTTCTTCTCAAGTTTGAAAAAATTACATTTTAAGGCCATATAGATGTTGGGTTCGTCTGGGCTCTCTGGACCAACCCGTTAGTGACGCATGCTCATCCTGGCTTTCTAAGACTCAAGCAATCAGAAGCTGTCTACCTGCCTAGCAGGTCTTTGACTTCCTTGGTGGGCTTCACCTTCTGCTTTTTCTTAAAGCCCACCTTCATCTCTGAATGAAGAATTGGATCCCTTTTATGTTCTGTTTTTTAGGCTGTCCCGTTGCATGTGGCCATCCCAGGAAACTTCACCCAGTCCCGCAAGATTACAATTGTGGGTAGTGTGCCCTTTGTGGCAAACAGGTACGTTTCCAGAAAAGACAATTCGATGTACTCTTTGTTTCCATTCAGTCATTACGCCAAAACCAAGACGGTCAGGAAATTTCTGTCATCCCTCTTCAGAAAGGCAATGTCCATTTTTAATCTTGTTTAGCTTGCCTTTATTCCAGGCGGGTTTACTAAAAATGCAATGAAGTGCCCACCTCTTTCATGCCCTGTTTCGAAAGAGCAGATTTGCAAGTATTGACTCACTGCCTCCCTGTGGCAAGTAAGCGTGACTCCCCGAAGCAGCTACAGAGGAAAGATTTACTGTATTTTAAAAACATAGAGGGTTTCCTTTCTTCTTGGCCACAAATAGCTAACAGATCAATCTGTGTTTATTTAAACATCAGCTGTTTTGAATCTGCTCCCAAGACAGTGAGCAAAAGGTTTGAAGCCTGAGATATGGAGATTCCATATGAACCTGAATTGTTTTTGTGGAATACAGTGGTACCAAGATGAACGCCTTGCTGGACGAAAAACTTGGAAGACGAAAGTGTTTTGAGATCATGTTGGTGACTCGCAAGACGGCTTCTTCTATGGCCGTGCTTCACAAGATGAAAATAATTCATTCGTCTTGCGAGGTTTCCCATAGGAATGCATTGCAATGCATTCCTATGCAATGCATTCCTATTGCCTGGAATAAAGGCAAGCTAAACAACATTAAAAATGGTCATTGCAATGCATTCCTATGGGAAACCACTTTTCGCAAGATGAAAATTTCGCAAGACAGTGCTACTCGCGGAACGAATTACTTTCGTCTTGTGAGGCACCACTGTATAATACCAGACTTGATAGAAAAACAAAAAAGATATTTTGGAGATCAACGGGAAAGGGGATGTCAATTTCTTCCATGCAGATTCCACGTCAACCTCAAAAACTCCATGACCGGCAACATCGCCTTGCATATCAACCCCCGGTTCAAAGAAGGAGCAATTGTCCGAAACACCCAGATCCACGGCTCATGGGGTTCTGAGGAGAGGCACATGACTGCCATGCCTTTGTCCCCTGGCTGTGCCTTCCACGTAAGTAAAACTGGGGCCAATGCTGTATTTACATCATGGCATTTCAGACCCTTGTCAAAAAGCACATGCGGATGGGAGCAGCTTGGATGGCAAGCATTCCAACGGGATTCTGCGTGAGATTCTATATACACACAAGCTTCCGATGATGACAGCCGCCTGCCCTCTCCCCATGCTTTCTTGGTAGATTTTTTTTAAAAAAGGATGTTGCTCCCAGCTGTTTTATTCTCTTTTTCTGAATTGATGCTTTTCCTTGCTCTCCATTCACTGGCAAAACCATCTCAGTGATGGATGAAGTGGATCTTGGATTTTGTTCCAGCTAGGCATTGTTCCAGCTAGTCCCAGAGGGACATGGTGGTGCTGTGGGTTAAACCGCAGAAGCCTCTGTGCTGCAAGGTCAGAAGACCAGCAGTCATAAGTTCGAATCCACGCATCGGAGTGAGCGCCCGTCGCTTGTCCTAGCTCCTGCCAACATAGCCGTTCGAAAGCATGTAAAAATGCAAGTAGATAAGTAGATACCATCACAGTGGGAAGGTCATGGCGTTCCGTGTCTAGCTGCGCTGGCCACGTGACCACGGAAACTGTCTTCGGACAAACGCTGGCTCTATGGGTTGGAAACGGAGATGAGCACCGCCCCCTAGAGTTGGACACGACTGGATTAAATGTCAAGGGAAACCTTTACCTTTAGAGATTTTTAAAAGTTCTTGCAATCATTTCATTGACGTATCCAGGAACTGTTCTGCAGGATCAGGCCATCCATTCCAGCTCTGCCTCTGAGGGTTTTGTGCAGCTCAAGAGAAGGGGTGGATGCCATCTCAAACTTGGGGAAGGTTATGGGGCTGGAGTTCTCTTGAGCTGCGTCCCCATCAAAGAGCAAAACTCATATAATAGCATTGCTTCCTCCCACAGAATTCTTGGACTAAAAAAAATAAAGAACAAGGTTCAGCAGCCCCACCAAGCTTTTTCCTCTTCTTTGGGGAGAAATCATGAAAATTAAACTGAGAGAAAAACAGCCGGAATTACTGTGGTTCAGTTCTGCCCAGGCTTGGACCACTACAGATTAAAAATGTGATAAAACATGCTGGGTAAAACAAAATTCTTGTTTCCTCCCACTAGATGGAGATCATCAACCTAAAGCACAACTACACGGTGTCAATCAATGGGCTCATGGTATTTAACTACACCCACCGAATCCCTCCGGGCCAGGTCGACCACCTGGAAATCGCTGGTGACGTGATCCTTTCTTCCGTACAGTACTGACAAGTCTCCATCTTTTTATGTATCATTTCTCAGTCAGGCCTTTTGGGGACAATAAACAAGGAACGGGGTATTTGTAGTGCCTTTTCTCACTTCCGGATTAATGCTGCTCCAGTTTATGTGTCAAGCAAATCAAGACTTCTCTTGTGAATCTCCCGCAAGCATTCTTGGGAATAAAAGTGGCTGAAGATCATTGGAAAAGAAATTTTATTAGCCTCATAAAACATCTGCAGTGGCATGGAACATATACACAGCGCCGTCTGCTGTTTAAAAGTGATTTAAACTTGTAGAATAAGCATAACTGTATGAGTCGTAGATGAAAGTGAGACTTGGGAAATTTTATAAACCAGACAGCAAACCATTATTTGGATGTCAAATTAAGACTTGTGCACTTCTTTCCTGTACCCTCTTCGGACAGAAATTTGTATAATTATGTAACTTATGCCTCATCTGCCTCCGCATGATCAGTAAAATAAATCCCAGTTGAAATAAGGATGGAGTAATCATTAAAACAACAGCCTTCCATGGTCCTCTGTGTTGGTTTGAAGTTGAACATATGATTCTATAAAAGAAAAACATATACAGGGGAAAAAGGTAGAGCACATCTCTCTCACCAAATGCCTCATCTCCTTCCAGATGACTATGAAAGACATAGTTCAATTCAAAATAATTCTGGTCTAACAGCATAAAATGGAATTACCCATTTAGGGGTGCAGTTCTGATGGCTGTGCTCAACTGAGATGATGCTGGACAGCCGAAGCGGTGCTGAATCCAAAATCCTTCTGTGCTGGAGATACTGGACTGGCCTTCTGCTGGCCTGGTTTTGTGTCATAGTGTCGGTCTCCCTGGGCTGATGGAGGTTTCAGTCTGGCTTAACTGGGCTTCTCCGTCAACCTGCGTGTCTCTGCAATTTTGTTTGGCTTTTCTAATTTTAGTTAGCAGAGCAGTGGTGCCAGCGGATCCTTGTGCTGACAGATCTCTGAGATGAGCCAGCACAAGAGGGTCCCTCTGGTAGAAGGGGATCTGTGTCAGCACAAGATGTTCCTGCTAATTCCACACCTGTTGTCGCTGGCACTGCCTCTCACTTCCAGTAAACAAGAGATGCCCGTAGGAGGTCAGGCAGGAAAGTATGAGCAACAGAGCTTATGTGTGGGCTGACAAACCAGAATCTCCTGACGATGCTGATCTGAGATGAAAGGGGCCATGCAGGTGGCCCAAAGCTGCCCAGGCGGTCTCTACTCACAGGAGGCCCAGTGGGGAATCGAACTCCTAACCTCAGGCTCTGTAGCCAGAGACCTAAGCCATTGAGGTGTCCAGACAGCCAACACTTCTAGAGAGCACCATTGAACAACGAGAGAGACCATCCCTTCATTGAAAAGGACCTCAAAATAGCCTGTTCACCAAGATCCTCATGATGCTAGGAGCTGTGGACCGCTGGCAGGAATGACACTGGTCATGTGAATCTACCACCAGCAACAAAAGGGGATAAATACCATTTTAAAAGAAATTGCTTTAGCCTTGTAAAATTGAAATTCTGAAAACTGACGAAGCCAAGCTAACTAAAAAAAAAAAAACAAACAAAAAAACCCCATGCCTATGCCCTCGCTGTCCGTATGAGAGTGTTGTCTTGTGTTCTTGGAAATCAGGGAGTATCTTTTGAGAAGCTGAAACTGCCCAAGGCTTTATAGAATGCTGCTGATCCTTTGTGCCTGATGAGCTTATGAGTAACTCTTGTGGCCAATTAATCAGCTCGAGAAAGGATTCCATTTGATTGGCTGAAAGACCTGAGCCAGCTCATGATGGGATTTTATTTATTTATTTATTTATTTATTTATTTATTTATTTATTTATTTATTTATTTATTTATTTATTTATTTATTTATTTATTTATTTATTTATTTATTTATTTG